AGGGAAGTTGGGAAAGTGAAATTAAGACAATGACAGCCAACCTCCATGAAAAAAAAATTGTAAAGTGTTTAACTCAGTGCCTTGTACAGAACGGGTAACAGTATTATTATACTTGCTCTGTTATTACTCACATAGAAAGTTCTGTTATCTTTAGTTACAGATGTTCCTTTAATATCAAAATAGGACAAAATTTCAACTTCGATAGAAAAATTAAGACGAAAAAATGAAATGTTCAAACATTAACTCAGCACTGTGCAAGGGACTTCTTGCCTAGGTACCTTCCCTTTTCCCATGTACGGAGCTGGAGAGTGTTAAACCTCCCTGTATCAATCTATCTAGATTGTATCAATCTATCCAGTCTTTTCCAGAGAGCCCCAAAATAAAGGAGACCCAACTACCAGGATGCATGTAGTCTGGAGTGAGCATTCATCTGAAAGAAAAAACATTTATTCATTTAAAATTACCTTTTCTATTTCATGAATAGAAACCAAGAGGGTACATTAAAATACTCAATCACATACATAACCAGCCTAACTTAATGGCTCATTATGACTGGGATACATAACCCAGTGATAGTAATGTAGACACAGATAATACATTATGTCGATCAATGTACACGAAACATGGCAGGCCTTCAAAAACAATTTCAGGTGACTCAAAAATTGGCCTTATTGAAACAAGACATTGAGATGCGTGAGAAGAACTTAAATGGTGTTATGAAATGTGAAAAGGCAAAAATGTAGACTGTTTTATGTCTGAATTCATCTATGAAAATAAAACCAATTTACTAAAATTAATATTGAAACACAAGTGTGTTTCTACAGACTATATAGTCCTGTCAGAGCCACTGCAGCCATAAGTTCTCACTTCACGTTAGCATCTGTGGGCTCTCGTTGCCACTCAGGGCTTGAGCTGTTGAATATTTGGCTTCATCCTCCACTTGATTTCTGCCTCTGATTTTTCCTGTACTTCACCTGCTTCCTCTTTTCGTGCAGGCTCTTCTGGGGCCTATGGTCCTGGGCCCTACTGAGGGGGTGGGGCGGCCTCCGGGGGCGGGGCGGCCTCGGGCGGNGACATGGCCCTAGTGAATCAGTTGTTGGTGCAGGGCCTGTGTCCATGAGCAGCAGCTCTCCTTGACATGCAGACTCTCAGACACAGGTATTACCCCCAGATCTGTGGGGGCTGCCTACCTCCTAGAGTTAGAGCCTTCTAGCTGGGTCTCTTCTTAGTCTTTCTGATCTCTCTGGTATACTTCAGATAGTTTCCTTTCTCTGTGACGTTCTTCCACAGATCAGCTTCACTCCTTCTTGGGTAAGTTCCTTTTGACATAATGGAAGGAAATATTATGAAGAAGCACTGCACATTCTATAATGCAAGACTGTACCTTGGAGAAGATAAAAAATCTCCATACCTTCCTCCACTGGATCTCACGGAACACCACTCCCTCACCCCTCCTGTTGTCAGTTGCTCCACTAACTCCAAATGTTCCAGACCTGGGGGCTTGGACATCTCTTTGGTGGGCACACTCTATTGCCCATTTGCTCTCTTCTAAAACTCTTGCTGTGTAGCAAGCGAACATCTTAACCAGGGTGATCTTTCCCCTCCATGAGGCATTATAGATATGTGTGTGCATTTCACAGGCCAGTCTGTTAAATAAGGCAAGTGAGGTGGCTGGCCTGTGCCCCAACATAGATCCCAGTGGGCTGGTGATCTGTGTGGCAAGGGACAATAGTCCTATTTTTTAACATCATCAAAATTCAGTGTCTCAAGTTCTGTTTATAACTGTCAAAGTGTATATGGGAGATGCCAACAGAGCAGCCTCCTGTTATGTGTGATTATCATGGGCACATTGGTTGGTATCTCCAGGACCACACCCTCCTAGGGATAGCCCTGACATACTGGTATCCTATGATCATGCCTGTTGAAGGTAGGTATCCTGAAAGTAGTCTCCCCTGTGTTAGAATATAATGTCCACGTCCTAGTGACCACTTCTGTTTGTTTACCTTCATACCCCCAGGCCTAGAAGAGCTCTTATCCAAGAGTAGATAAACAAGAATTATTTTTTGAATGAATAAATGACTCCTAGGCACGGGTGCTGCAGTGTCTCACCTGTTGAGTTTTGTATTTGCTTCGTTCCTGCCGACAGCTAAAAATGTCTTCAGAGAAACTCACATGCTGACTAATGGCACATTCATCGTGTCCAAATTTATCTCCTACTCATTTTGCTGCTGATAGTTCATTCTCCTGATTTCGTCTTTCCTCATATTTCACTGAAAAAATAGGAGCAATCAAAAGAGCACTTCCACATGTAGTCCCCAGATGAATGCACCTGTATCTCAATTGCCTTCCTTTTATAATGGATGAATTAATTGTCCATGGTCCTGTCTAAGGCAAATCAATTTCCTTGTGTGGGGGGTCTCCTTCCATCTCAATTTCTCATGAACTCCACTTTCACAATTGTCCCTACTGTCTTTTACATCTGCTTTATATCTGTTTGTCCATTGAGTCAACCTCATATATGCTGTTCTGTCTCTTCACCTTTTGTAAAACTATCCCTTTCAGTTAGTCACCATCCAGATCTTGCCTGTTTCGGGGAGGGAGGGGGGCAAGAAATATTGCCTGTTTCATAATGAATCTCTTTGAAAAAGTGTATATACTTTCTGTCTCCATTCTTCATCAGCTATTGTCTCTTCTTAACATTGCTTTTATTGTGAAATATAGCACATTCAATGAAAAGTACTTTTTAAAAACAGATATAGATTTCAGGGAATTATTAAAAATAGGAAAGTTTTGTAACCATAAGTTTGATCAAGTAATCAACATTCAGAGCGCCACAGAAATAACCTGTGTCTCCCTTTATAATTACAAATCCCTCTACCTGCAGAGGTAATCCTGAGCCTGTCTTTTATGGTAAACAGCTCCCTCACGTTTCTTTGTAGTTTTACCTTCTATATACACAACCCATAACATGTAATTTCATTATATCTGTCTACAGACTTCACATGTATACATAAAAGTACAACTTTATACATGGATTCTCTTACTCTGCCCTTCATTTAGGTTTCGTCCATGTTATTGTGTGATGCCATAGTTCATTTCTATCCATTGCTCTACTAGTATTTCTCTGAGTAAATCCCATAGTATTTACCATCCATTCTATTAACTGTAAGTTCTTTTCTCTAAGGGGATACTATAAGCACTGCTGCTCTGGACATTATTGTCCAGGTAACTGATGCAGATGTACATAACATTCTAGGATATATTTCTAGAAGTAGAAGGCTAGGTAGTAGGATGGACAAAACATCAATTTAACTAGAATATAGTAAACCATATTTCAAAATGAAGTGCCACTTTACATTTCTAAAGCACTGAAAATCTCTACGGCTGCAGTGTCCATAATGCTTGGTGTTGTGAGTCTTTAAAATGTGTCAAGCTTGGGCCGGCCCGGTGGCGCACTGCGCTAGTGCGCAGCTTGGGAAGCGCGGCGGCGCTCCCGCCCGAGGGTTCGGATCCCACATACAGACCAGTTCCCGCTCACTGGCTGAGCGAGGCGCAGGAGCAACACCGAGGGTTGCGATCCCGTTGCCGGTCCCCGGTCCGGTACGGGGGCAACACTGAGGGTTGCGATCCGTTGCCGGACAGGGAAAAAGACAAAAGACAAAAAAAAAAAAAATGTGTCAAGCTTGTAATATATAATGATATCCTTTGAAGGCTATACTTTGCACTTCTGTGAATGCTAAGTAGTGAATGCTATGCCTTTTTTATATATGGATTCTACTAGAATAAGGCTTTCATCCCCACCCATACAGCCAAACTGCTCTACTACAGGTAATCAATGAATGACTCTCCATTTTCAAAGTACGTGATCAACTCTCAGTTCTCTCTTCACAGACCTATCAGCAACATCTAAAGCCTAGTCAGTGTGATGTGACTTACATTAATTTAGAAGAATTACTCTGCCTGCTGGGTGCAGAATAGGCTATTAGGGGAGCCAGGGTGGAAGCAGAGACTAGTCAAAGACTTCTGCAGTTGCTTAGGAGGGAGTTAATGGTGACTTGCTCCTCGTTGGAGAAATGGGAGTGGAGGTGAGAGGTCACATTCCGGAAATGTGCTGAAGATCAAGCCAAGAAGATTTGCTGATGGACTGGATTTGTAGTGTAAAACTCTTCTGGAAACACTTCTCTTGGTTGTCAGGACAGAGCTCTCCCTTCAGGGTACTCCTGCCACACTTGACACTCTTTCTCTGACCTCTTTCCTGAATCATCCTCGTTGTAGCAACATCTAATGGAACGCCCCAGAGCTAGTTCTCACCCAGTCTTCAGATCCCTTCCCTTTTCCAGCTATACTTGCTCCCTGGGCAGTGTCAACCAGTTCCATGGCTTGAAATATCATCTGTATACAGACAGCTCTCAAGTATACATCTCTAGTTGACTTCTCTCCTGAATTCCAGACCCAATCATCTTACTACCTAGCTGACATGCCCTCTTGGGTATTTAGCAGGTATTGCAAACTAAACATGTCCAGCACTTGCCCTTTCCACCCCTATATTTCATCCAGAAAAGTTGACAAAGATATTCTGGAGCAATTTCAAAAGCATAACTGGAACTGTGAGCCTTAAACCAAATGGGGGTACGGAAGAGTAAGATCATTCCGTGGAAACAAGACCATGATGAAAACCCAGCATGAGACAAGGATATGGTATGTACTAAGGACAGATCCTCTTCTGTTAGACATGCTGATACGAAATACTCCTTTTCAGAACCCATAGGAGATAATGCCTGGAAATGAGAAAGAGGGCCCAATTGTCACAGTCCTTTGGTGTCACAAGTTTACATTTTCTACCTTAGATAATGGGGAAGCAATAGCAATTCCTGAACTCCAGACTGTGGTGACAAATCAGTGTCTGGGGAAGCTTAAGAAGGACGTTAGAGAGCACAGTAAGATAGACTATAGCAATGAAACAGGCATGAGGTATCATACACTTGGTCAGTCATGATTCCACACTGATGTTTTCCTTTTTTTGAATTTTTAAAAAGAATTTTCTACCTGTGGGAAGAGTTGCCACGGCTTTGTCATTCACAAATTCATCCCAACCCCTTGGTTATCCTCTTATGTTTGATTCTGGCACAACCTACTCTTGCAGACTCCCATAAGTTTATTAGATACTGTAAGTGGTATTAGGTCTTTTTTCCTATCCTTGCTTGGCTCAAAAATGTTTTAAGTATATGTGTCCACAAGCAAAAGGCTCAGCCCTTTGCAAACTTATTTGTGGAGAATGTCTGCCCCTAGTTTTGAGAAAACACCTCAGTAAACGTATTGGCCCCTTAAAGGCAACACCAAAATTCTCTTCTGCAATTAGGTTTGTAAACATACAGGCTAATTTATTTTTGCAAACTGATGTAAACATTTATCTACATTGTATGCAGAAATGCAGTTCAGGGAAGCCATAATAAAGTCATTTGGATTAGATATATCTTTTCTTTTTCCTTCAACTGAGCCCTAGAGAAGGCAGGGCAGTTTGACTCCAGGTTAGGACATTCCCAAAAGCACTCCAACGGGACAAGGAAAGATGTCAGATCAGGGACAAGGAGAGAGATGGCCTATCCAAGTCCCCCAGAAAGGGCTGACTTCTGGACTCCAGGAGTATTAATATCTGCAGCATCCAAATGTGCTTTCTTTCCCACATTGTAGTTTCCCTTTGATCCCTGCAAGACTGGATAAAACTCTAGAACCTGGACTTGGCTGTGCGTTGGGGAACTGAGGGAAGGGCCTGGGTCTTTGCTGGCTGAGGCAGCGCAGAGAGGATGAGAAGGCAGGTAAAGGATGGCAAGAAGTCACCCTCAGAGTCTCCTGGAGCAGCACTTGGCTGGGGCACAAGTGACTACTGACACTATTGTATTGGTTTGGGAAGGTATAAGCACTCCACAGAAGCCCCCAGATATGATGTGGAGAGGCGAAAGTGTGCACTTCCTGGAGGCAGTCACACATAACACAGAACGTTGACCCTGGAGATGTCAGGCTTACCCTATCTTCTCTCTCCTGCCCACATTAAAGCTGGTCACTTCCCTGTAATAGTCTACCCTAATGGGCTTCAACCTTCATTGGCTGGAGTTTGGGGTTTCTACACATTTTAGGATTCATGTGAGTGTTCCTAAATATGACCAATTTTCTAGTGTCATTTCTGAGAACACCCACCCATACACCTGTTCTAATCTTTGTTTCCTGTCTTAAACTTAGTCTCGTAACCCTGAAGTTCACATCACTCATAAGGATAAGCAACTAAAAATTTTAATGTCTATATAAAACCTCCTTATTTGCTAAATTTTGTAACTTTTTTGTCAAATACTGTGAAATCCTGGAAAGGCTTTATGGATTGATTCCCAATTATCTACCTGCCTTTGGTCCTCAAAGAACTCCATTAAATCAGTCGAGAATAATTACCACACATATAAATTATGATTCCCTCATCCTTGATGTTTTAAATATGTGATGCATGTTAGATTTTCGTATAGTCACCATCGCATGCCCAGTAAGGAATGTTACCCCTTCTATTACTCCCCGCTTCTCCACTGAAGTGCATCTAAGCAGAAATCCTCTATTCCGTCCTCAAACGTCTCTAGCGACAAGTTTACCTTTGGAGGCCTTCAGTTTTCCAGTTTTATCCTTGTTCTCAAAACTCTCAGGTGACTACCAAGTGATAGCATGGTTTCTCACTGTGAATTTTGATCTTTTGGCATAAAAAA